ACCAGGCCCTCCACGGCCACCCCAAGCCCTAACCCTAATCATGGTTGATTCCCATGCTTATCATTCCATATTTCTTTGGTATAGATGTGAAAATCTGTAAGCAGTAGATAAAAACTCAATACACCCATGTGCATTTTGTTCTCCTAAACATGGGGCCACTGTGTCCTGCAACCAACCTTCATGGCCGAGTGGTGTCTTGTGAAGGTCTGAAGGTGAAGCTGCGGTGATTTCTCCCATGGAGCCCTCCCACTGCCCACTGTGGGCTGTGATCTGTGCAGCAGGTATCCTGAGTGGACAGTAGGTCCTTTCTCAGTTGTTAGTCTTTTAAAAATTTTGTGGTGCTAGGGATTGAGCCCAAGGGTGCTCCACCACTGAGCTATGCCCAGCCCTTTCCAGGGGTCTCGCTGGGTTGCCCAGGCTGGCCTTGAACTCGTTGTGGTGCGCCTGCCTCGGCCTTCTGAGTGGTCAGTTTTTGTGGTGGAAGCAACGTGGCAATGCAGGACACTACAACTTGGTCTCTGTGGCCAAGGACGATTTTCCTGGTGATACTTTCTGGAAGCGAGATTTTTAGGTAAACTGCACATCACACCACAGTATCGCTTAAATCTGCAAACCCTGTGGGTAAGGTCATCTCACGTCCTTGGCGCTTCGAGGCTAACTGCAGTGCGAGTGGTTGCCGTTAAGGTGCTGGGGTGCTGTGTGTCTTGGGTGCCTGTTGATGGATGGGCCTCCTGAGCCTTGCCCTGTGCTTGAGTTCTCAGTGCCCTGGCATTTGAGGTGCCCTCTGTCCATGCTTGGTGGGCCTTATAGAGGGGTTTTAAGTTGCCAGCACATAGCACCCACCGTCCTCGGGTCACAGACGGGCTGTAGACGGGCAAGGCCACGGTGGGTCCGCCGCCGTTTCCCATGGTGACCACCCCTGAGGGGGGCCAGGCGGCCTAGTGACCCCACCACCCCACAGAGGCCTGCAATGGGGTTGTCGGGTCAGGGAGGGAAGTGGGGCTCTCCAGGGGCGTGGCTGAGGCAGCTTCAGGAGCCAGCCAGCCCCCAGGCCAGGGTGAAAGGGAGCGGAGCCTCGGCTCAGGAGAAGGTCTTGGGGACAGAGGTGTGTTCAAGGTCAGAAGCTGGGCCTGGCTTCAGAGGTGAGGTTGGTGATGCTGACCTGGGCTTTAGTCCTGGGCCGCAGCTGGACAGAGCCAGACAGATGCAACTCTGGGGCAGCCATCCATGCAAAGGGGGTCCAGAGCTCATGTGTCAACAGTGAGAGAGGGTGGACCGGCTGGTGTCCACAGTCCTCGGCAGCCCTGTCATCCAACCACATTACATCCGGGGCCCCTGCCTGTGTCCAGGGGCTCTGTGTGGCAGATGGGGTGCTGAGAGGCCTAGTGACTTGAGCTCCCGAGACTCTGCTGGGTGTCTCCACGCTCAGCCCCTCGTGGGCTGTCCCCTGGAGGGCCTCGGGGTGGCTCAGGGAGCAGGGCCAGCCATGGGTGGGGCGGGGGTGCTGTCCTGGGCAGCTCGTGAGGGAGGTGGATCCTGTGGGTGGGGCCCCTGTGGTTGCCCTGTTTGACGGATGCCCAGGGCCAGCTGCCTTTCTCTGTGCCCCTCTTACTCTGTGGTGGGGCAAGGGAAAGCCTGTGAGGTGTGGTCGGGGCAGGTGGGCCAGTGGGCCTGGGTGGAGGCATGTGTGGGCAGGCTTTGCTCCTGTCCCAGAGGCAGTGATGTGGGCTGGCTGGGGACCTGGCGCTCCCACGTGTCAGCAGAGTGCCCGTGCCAGTTTCCCTCCCCACAAATGGGAAATGAGGGCTCCTGTCTGCGAGTGCCGCCCTGGGAGCCGCTGGCCCGGGGGCCAGGAATGCTGACCTCCTGAGCAGGGAGGCTGCATGCGGCTGAGGCCCTGCGAGCAGCTCTGCCCTGCCCCTGCCCACTGAGCTTCTCGGGGTGTCTGCGCAGCGGGGCTCCATCCCTTCTCTCACTGAGGACGCACACACAGACACTCTCGCTGAGGCCCAGGGGTTCGCGGCTCTGAGCAAATAAACAGCAGTCGGGAAGGGAGAAAACCGACACTTTATTCCTCCAGGCTGGGCGGGTGGACCTCCCCTGCCCCCTTTGCCAGGCTGCAGGAGCTCTGGACCTGCCACACACCTGAGTCCATCCAACCGAGCGAGCCCTCCTAGGCTGCGGCAGGGAAAGGCAGTGGGAGGGTGGCCGCAGTGTGTCCCTGGTGGCAGCATGATCAGGGCCCCCTGGAGGGCCTGGGAGGTGGGCAGGGAGGCTTCCTGGACCAGGTGCCCCATCCACTGGGGAGTGCCCAGGAACCTGGTCCCTGTGTGTGGACCTGGGCCAGCAGGTCAGCAGGGCCTCTGCAAGCTCTGCTGAGGCAGGGCCGGAAGGACAGTGGGCAGAGGGGCACCGAGGGCCTTGTGGGCTCACTGGTACTGGTTGGGGGTGGACAGGGTATTGCGGCGGCTGTAGCACATGTCCTCATACACCACGCTGGACGGGCTCTTTTTCCTCGAGGTGCACATTCCCTTAATCTAAAAGGTGGCCCACTGTTACCCAGGTGGGGGCTGGCCTGCTGTCAGCCCCAGGGAGCCCCGCTCCAAGGTCCCCTCCCACGCTCACACCCAGGGGCAGCTTTCTAACAGCCCAGGCTCAGTCACCCAGGTGCGGGGGAGTCTGCCTGGGGAGGCCCCACACTGCAGACAGGGCCCTGGGGATCCTGCCCACCCTCTCTGCCCACATGGGAGGGGCCAGCTCACAGGCCAGACCCGGAGCTCACACTGACCTGCGTCCTTCTCAGCGTGCACAGCACCCCCAGGCCCAGCCCCATGAGGAAGAAGCCCACCGCCAGGGCAGCGGGGAGGGCGCGGGACGTCAGTGGAGGCTCCTGGCATCTGTGCAGGGACAGTGTGTCTGGGAAGAACAAAGAGGCCCTGGGCTTCAGGGGAGGAGGGGCTGTGGAGCTGGCAGAGGGAGGGCGATCCCCAGGCTGCCTGGGGAGTCAGGCTCCAGAGAGCGTGGAGGGAAGGAGCTGGCACGTTCCCCACCTGTCACCGCGACCATGGTGCCGGGGCCTGGGACGTTGCTATCCAGGAAGTCCTGGACGGCCTCGCAGGTGTAGGTGCCCGAGTCGGCCTTCTGCAGGTGGTGCATGGTGATGGTCAGGTTGTTCTGAGGCCCCGAGAAGCTGACGCGGCCCTGGAACTGTGGGTCCACAGTGGAGGTCCTGCTCTCCTCGTCCTCATAGTAGACCACGTACATGGCCTGGGGCCAGCTTTGCTTCAGGTAGAGCCCTTTCAGGGTCCCGTTGGTGGAGCAGGTGATGCTGACCGAGCCCCCCTCTGGGATGGTCGTGTAGCGGGGAGACTGCTGCACCTCTACCAAGAGCCTGCTGTCACCACGGGCTGGGCAGAGGGGCAGAGGACACTCTCTTGGCAGGAACAATGGCAGGGATGCCTGGAGGCCCTCAGCTCCACAGCGCCATGGGGTCTGGGCAGCTCTGGGGGCCAGCACCAGGGGCTGTGGGGCCCATGGGGCCAGGCTGCCCCCCCTCTCCACACCCGGCACCAGGGGAGGCTGTCGCTGGGCTTCCTTCCTGCAGCTACGCCGCCCCACCGCCCGCCCTGGCTCCACGTCCCTCCTGAGCCCCACCGACACAGCTGGAGGCCACTGTCCTCTCTCCCCTGAACCTCTCTTCAACGCTGTGCCTCGGTTTCCCCCACCACTCGCAGCACCAGAGCCTGTGGCTCTGTGGAGGGGGCACATTCCGGCTTGTCCATGGGACCTTCAGAGACCAGCCTGTCTGACCGGCCCAGGTCCAGTGGTGCCCAGCTTCCCCGCGTAGACACAGACCGTTCACCGTGCCCTGGACCTGGCTGCCCAGAAAGCCAGGAGCTGTGCTGCGTGTTTGCACGAGGTGGTGCCCCCAACCTGGCTCCCACCTCCACACGTGTGCACCTGACTGCAAGGCTCCCCGCGGTCTTCTTTAGAAGGACACCAGGGACAAAGTCCTCCTGATGACCAAGGCTGCACTGCTAATTGCAGAGAAGGAAGTCCCTGGCATTACCTCAGGGAAAACAGAAAATCCTACGACCCTGCTGCCCAGACTCGGCCCTGGCTACAACCCTGTTCCTGACATGGGCCCTGAGTGTGTCCTGGCGGGGCCAGGGAGGGGCGGGAAGGCACTCACCTTGGGCAGCCAGGGTCCCCGACAGGGCACTAGCCAGCAGGAGCAGCAGAGCCATGCTGCCTAAGCCCCCGGCCAATCAGCACTGGGCCTGGCCGAGGCCTGCTCGCTGCTGGGGAGGCCCCGGGGGGAACCTGGCGCAGGAGGCACCTCGGCTCAGCAGTGGTGACCGGCTCTCAGGGGTGGTTCCTGGGAGGAGGCAGGAGCTGCCACAGAAGGGCGGAGCCTCCCCTCACTCCTCCCACAGCTCGGGGCCAGCCTGGTTGCCTCCCAGAACTTGTGCACCCGGGACACCTGGCGGCGAAAGAGAAGGGCCAGGCTCTGGGGCTGGGAAACATAGGGCCCCAGGAGGGGCTGGGAGTTGGGAGCTACAGGCATGAGGCACTGGGATCGATCCTCAGCACTACATAGAAATAAATAAAGATGTTGTGTCCATCTACAAATATATATATATATAAGAAATTCTGCCTTCTGTCCCTATGTTGGAGGAAAACACCAAAACTACTGCTGTGGTTTGGATGGGAGATGCTCCCTGAAGGCACCTGTGCTCACCTCTGTGCGGATCTTCAGAGGTGAAGTGGCTTCCTCAGTCCATCCAGCTGGAACGGGCTGGCTGGTGGTAACTGTGCCAGGTGGGCGTGGAGGCCAGGCCTGGAGGAGTGTGGCTGCAAGGGTGCATCTTCCCGCAGTACCTTCTCGCCCCTTCCTCTCTCTGCTTCATGAGCTGAGCAGATTCCCTCTGTCACACCTTTCTGCCATGATGTTCTGCCTCACCTGGGCCCAGAGCAACAGCTTGGCCAGTCATGGACTAAACCTCTGAAACCGTGGGCCCTAAGTGGTTCTCTGTGGGTACTTTGGTCACAGCCATGAAAAACTGACTAACACAGAAACTAGTACTGAGAAGTGGGCTGTGGGTGTGACCAACCGGCACACGTGGTTCAGAAAGCCTTTGGAGCTGTTTGGCAGGAGGAGCTTGGGAAAGGTTGGACATGCAGGCTGGAGAACCTTAGAAAGTCCTAAGTAAGTGGAGCTTAATGGGTGACCCTGTGGGAGCTCAGAAGACCATATTTTAAAATGATGTGCTGATTGACCTGGTGGAGGAGATGTCAAGGCAGCACTGTATTCACTCAGTGGCATGGATTTTGCTGTCGGCTTTTAGTCACATTTACTGTGAGAAATCAGGATCAAAAAGCAGAGAAGGAAGATTTTATTCATTTTTATTTTCTTCAGGTGCTGGAAGGAGGATTTCAAAAACTTGCTGTTGGGCCAAAAAAGGGCATGTAAAACTGGGGCCAAAGAAGGTGCGATTGTTCGATCACAGCCACTGAAGAGGTGCTGAGTACTTTGTACACAGACACTGGGAAAGATGGCTTGAGGGCATCTGAGGAGTTTGCAAGAGCCCACCCACTGCAGGGTCAGGGGTGTGAGAGTGAAAGCTGCTTTAAGAGAAAATGGGACCTTCTACTTGCACAGGGGTGCCCGGAAAATCGTTTTCCCATTCACTGTGCTCACTACCCAAGCACTGATAGACCCTGGCGTCTCCCACATGGTGCGGGTTCTGCAGGAAGGCAGGATGCTGGAGTTCAGGGGTCGTGGAGCACTCAAAGGAAGACCTGGGAGGCCAGGCAAAGTGTAGCAGGGTCAGAATCTCCGCGGGCTGCCCGAGTGCGCAACCCATGAAACTGTGAAGGTGGAGCCAAAGCTGGAATGGAAACCCTAGGAATTAAGCGATGCTGGTAATGTGGACTGTCTGCCACAGAACCTGCTGGCTGTGGAGAGAGCCAGGCTAAGGGAGGCCACGAGGGCCACAACCGCTAAGGCCAAAGAGGTGGGGCAGCCCCACCCCTGCAGAGCACGTCCTGCAGCCACGTGTCCTAGATGCTGTACCAGGAGTCTGCCCAGACGGGTTCAGTCTTGTTTTGGTCTCATCCCTTCTTTCTGCACCCTTGTCACTGTGATTTGGAATGGGAATGTGTACTCTGTGCCACTCCATATTGCACATACGTAACTTGCTTTTGATAAGTGCTCAAAGCCAAGAAGTTATCTTGAGTCTCAGATGAGATTCTGGACTTGGACTTTGGGCAAAGCTGTGCTGGGACTACGGGACTCTTGGAGAAGGGCTAAATGCATTTCGCACTGTGAGATGGACATAAGCTTTTGAGGCCAGAGATGGAATGTTGTGGTTTGGATGTGAGGTGTCTCCTCAAACCTCCTACATGAACACAGAAGTATTCGGAGGTGAGATGATTAGATCACCAGAGCCGTGACCTAACCAGTCCATCCTAGTTTGAATGGACCAAGTGGGAGGTAGCCGTGGGCAGGTGGGATGTGGCTGGAGGAGGTGGGTCCCTGGTGTGCCTGAGGGGTGCGTCTTTTCTGCAGGACTTCTCGCCCCCCTCCTTTCTCCGCTTCCTGGCTGCCACGAGCTGAGCAGCTTCCCTGGTCACCTCCTTCCACCATGGTGTTCTGCCGGGGTCCTGCCCTGGTGTCCTGTCCAGGGAGTCCTGAAGGATGAGGGGCGTCGGAGAAAGATGAGACAGGAGTCGTTCCGTTGGAGCCATCTGCAGAGAGAGAGCGCTAATGCAGCTTTCTCTGGGTCATCTTTTATTACAATTTTTTCTCATCATTATGGATTCAGAATACGTCATTGATTATACAATTTAAAACTTTGCCAAGACATGACATTTCCTTAACCATGATTGGAGGTACAAAAAATGTAACATTAATTTACATTTTTCCAGGATATGACCTTCAGTTATGTAATTATTAAAAGTACAGAATCATTGATAAAATACGTCACTAATTTACATTTTTCAGATTTTCCCAAGATTTACTATTTTTCCCAAGATATGTTATTTTCTTATTAACTAATGCCAAACTACGTAACCAGACTCTAAGTCTCCTAACCAATCATTAACCTAAAGTACACTTGTACTTTATTTCTAATCTAAAATTCCCATCTAAAAAAGTCCCCTTAAATCTTATATTTAAAACATCCTAAAGTTTATAAATCATTCTTAAAACATATCAGAAACCTATACAACTAAAAACTTAAGAATTTCTAAACTTAAGAATCTAAATAAAATAATATTTCTAACATTATTCTAAAACTGTGTCTTATAAAGCTGTTTTAATTAATTCCTAAATTTATTCTCATAAAACTGGTTGAGCTGCTTTCTCAGAGTTTCTTTGTTTCTCAGTCAAGGTGCACTAGTTCTCATATCTTTATAATCTTTCTCAATAGAAAGTAAGTTCTAAACATCAATCCACTTTCCACCAATATTAAGTGTGCTCATCATATATGCCTATGTAAAGTAAGAAAGAGTTTATAAAAAGAGAAGAATATATCTTTATATGTTTTAACTTTCCTAAGTGTATAATATAACTTTCCTTAATCAAAAATGAAACTGCATGTGGTGAACTTTGTGAAATAAGCATACTGATTAGGTTTTCTAAGAGGCCGGAAATATGGGCTTGGGTTCTAGTTGATATAATCAATGTGGTGCCTAAAATTCTCATGACCTTTCAAAGGATGATTGTTGTCCGTTATCAGGTTTGTCCACAATGTACTGAGATAGAAGAACAGCCTTCTACTTTGTCCTTGATATGCTGAGGGGTAGTAGAACAGCCTCCAAGGCAGGAACTACCTGTTATATTCTAGCCATCTGAAATTTAATTTGTTTGGCATTTAACATACTCATGACTCCTGTCAGGAACATAAGCATGAAAATGAAAAGTCCCAATTACATAAAAAAGGGTCTCATGGTTTCGGTTTCCCACCAACCAGCGTGGCTTTGCCAGCATTCATCCTCACTGTGACCCTGTCAAGACAGTGGGAGAGCGGCTTTGCCAACACTTTTTCTCACTGTGACCCTGTCAAGACAGTGAGTGGGGGATCGCCTTCACCAGTGTTCTGTCTCGCTTGGGTCTAGAGCCATGGACTTGGCTGACCACAGACTAAACCCCTGAAATTGTGAGCCAGAATGAACTCATCCTCCTTGAAGTGGTTCTTGTCAGGTATTTTGGTCACAGCAAGGAAACCTGACTAACACAGTTACAATTGCAATAAAGAAAACACGTGCACATGTGAGCCCAAGAAGAAAAGTGGGGTGTGGTGGTTGGGATGGGCCTGAGTGGGGAGCCAGGGGGATCCCCCAGGAGAGGTCTGGGGTCTGAGGGGCCTGTCTGTCCTGCCTGGGGAAGCAGCTCCCTCCAGCCAGCACCTGTGATGCTCCCACTTTCTTTCCCTGAGGGCCTCTGCGGCTGGGTTGCGTCACCCCCTGGTGGTGGGCATGGGGTGATGCGTCATTTCAGACCCGGAGCCCCCCATCTTGGTCCCTGGAGCCCTGGCAGCAGGGTCCACAAAACTTGTTTCTGTTCTTGGTCAAGACAGGCGTGTGCCCACGGTCCACTTAAGCCAAGGCTGGAGGTCCCCTGGCTTGCTCTGGGGTCTCTCAGGGAGTGGGGAGCCCCTGGAGCACAGGGGTTTCAGCAGTAGAAGAGGAGCCTGGGCCCCCCTTGATAAGCAGCAGAGGCAGGGCAGATCCTGTCAATCAAGGGCTGTGAAGTTTGAGATTTTCCATGTTTGGACAGAGTTGAGGCAGCAGAGAGGGGCTGGAGACCACAGGGGCGGGTCTCCCTGTCCTGGTGTGAGTGATGGACAGAAACCCAGGCAGGATGCTGCCCAGCTTCCAGGGGCTTCCCCAGTGAGCTGCTGCACAGAGCCCGAGAGATCCACCACCTACATCCAGGCACAGGAGCAGGCTCTCCTGTGCCCAGCAAAAGCTCTCAGGATCCTCCTTTGCTCAGCCAAGAAGATGGTGACAGCTCCATGGGCCTTGGGATGCCGGGTGATATGGGCTTGCAAGGGCTGCAGGTGCAGGGAGGGTGGCACCCTGTGTCAGCCTCACTGTGGGAGTGTGGGGTTGGGATCCACACTCCAGGTAGATTCTGATCCCACTGGACTCTGGTTCACAGGGCTCAGAACCTCTGCAGCTGGGGAGAGAGGCAGAGTGAGGGCCTGGCACAGACCCTGGTGCCATGCAGACACTCAGGCATGGCACAGGCACACTCCAGCCACACAGCGCTGCATCTGCAGGCGTGCATGCCCCTGCACACACGTGCACATGTGTACACACACACACACACCCACACACACACAGCCCAGGCTGGGTTCTGAGTCCAGCAGAGTTGAAGTCACTTCCTGCTGGGCTCAGAGAACAGGTCTGTCCGGGAAATAGATTCCCAGGAGTCTTGAAAGAAGCAGGGAGACCACCCCCATGCTGCTCTCCTGGGGACAAGTGAGGCCTTGGGGACAGAGGGGCCCCTCTGCGCCTGCACAAGTCAGGCCTGTGGTTTGGCTACAGCCAGCTGGGGGTCTTAGGAAAATGTGGCCTGGGAGCCCCACTGTGTCCCTGAGCCACTGGGGGTGCAGGACCCAGGGGCCCACTGCCCAGTACAGGACGCAGGGAAACCTCCACCCTGCCCTGGACCACATGGAGGCCTCTTACCTGCACCAACTTCAGAGAACGTCGGTGCCAACACCAGCCAAGGGAGCCCACCACCAGGATCAAGAGAAGGACAGCAACCAGCGCCCCTACCATGGCCTGGGGCGTGGCCTGGGACCTGGCTTGCAGCCTCTCTGAGCCTGGGACCTGGCTTGCAGTGCCTGGGAAGGACAGGTGGGCAGAGTCACCTGCATCGCTGGTCACTCCACGCATCACTCACTGACTCACTGGCCACAGTGGTGTCCCCACCGCCTCCTGCCTGCCCAGCCCACCCTCCTGGGCAGGGACATCACTGGGATGAGGGAGGCTGGTAGGTGGCACAGTGGCCCTGGGGTGGGCCAAGCACTGAGGAGCCAGGGGAGGGGTGGTACCTCAGGGACAGGGATGCAGCACCTACCCCAGGGAGGTGTGGACGGCCTCAGGCCTGCGGCCTCCTCCTGGTCTTGAGACTCTGCTGGGGAGACACTGTCACGTTGGCACAGAGCCCTGATGTCCCTCTACCTCTGGGGCAGCATGAGCAGGGGTAGGGCTCCCTGGGTCCCCTCCAGGGGCCAGATCACAGACACTGCCAGCTGGGCTCAGGTGACAGGGGTGGATTAGACCAGTGGGGGGCACGGGGACCTTGGATCTTGTAGGGAAGGAAAGGATGAGGTGGGCAGTGGGTTTAGGCTGGGAGGGGCCTGACTGGGCACGGAAGCGATGGCACCCAGGACACCTGCGGGCCCTGTGAGGCCTGGGGGCACAGAGCCGCAGGAGAGGGGGACGTTTTCCGTGGCCCCTTCACTTTGTGGACAACTGGGGGAGCAGGTGGGGGAAGGGAGGAAGGTGGGGGAAGGGAGCAGGTGCTGGGCGGGTGTGTCTGGGTGAGGACCGGAGGGCAATCGGGGGTGGTAGTGGTCTGAGGAGAAATTGCCCTTGTTATGGGGACGGGGTCCAGGGTGAAGCTGTGCAGCGGGCACGCTGGGCGGGGCAGGTCTGGAGAGGGTAGGACAGCGCACGGGAGCTGGGGGCCAGGGACTCTTTTGCTTGCTGTGTCTGGTCAGGACTCAGGCCTGCGCCTGTGGGTCTGTGCCCTGGACTCTGCCCTCTGCTCTGCTCCTGCTCCTTGGCCGCTGCCCCTCCCAGTGGGGAGCCCCCTGCTGCCCCCAGCCCCTCCCCATGCTCCGCCCCTGGCCCACCCTCCCGCTTGGCCCTGGCTCTGGCCCCGCCCCGGGCCCGCCTCACCTGAGACATTCAGATACGTGGCTCTGTTCGTTCTCTGGAGCCCTTGCAGCTGCCACACGTACTGTCCCGCGTGGGCGTCCTGGGCGGCTGTGACCACCAGCCGGGCCTGGCCTCCGTGCACCTGGAGCTTCCAGCCACCCCTGGAGAAGCGTCCCGGGGGCCGCTCCTGGAAGATGGTCACGGTCTTTCCGTGGGCGCGCAGCCAGATGGTGATGCGGGAGAAGGTGTTGGAGATGTTGCAGGCCATCACTGCCGGCTGGCCCCTGGGCACGGACACCACGCCCTCTGTGCAAGAGGGCCTGTCCCAGCCTGTGTGGAGGGGAGGGTCACACTGTGGGCAGGGCGGGGCCTGGGCGGGGCAGGGGTGGTGTCAGCGCCTCCAGGGACTCTACATGTGACTCATGCTAGGATAGGGTCCATCAAAGCCCACAGAGCTGGGGTGGCAGTCAGACACACACCGCAGGGAGGGAGGCCGTGTGCCAGGCGTGTGTGCCACCAGCTGGTCACTGGGCAGGAGGCAGCTGGTCAGCCAGATGTTCCTGCAGCTCCCTGCCCTGTGCCGTGCCACCACGTGGGCCCCAGGGAGGTCTTTGTGGTGTTAGGGTCTCCAGTTGCACCTCCTGGGGGATCTGACCCAAATTCTTGCTGTCCCCATTGGCTATCAGAGTGGCCAGGACACTGGTGCCTTGGGTGGCCCTGGGGGCATTTCTCTGCACAGCCAACCTGGATCTGGAGAGCTGCACGGGGACTCACTGGGGACCCTGTGCATTGCACCTTCCCTTCTAGTGCTCTGAGTGTCTGCTTGTCTAAGGCCCAGTGATGCTGAGGCTGCTGACCAGGGTGGATCAGGGACCTTGCTGGGAGGAACTCGGTCCTGTGGAGCCTCTCGTCCCCTGGCCATGGCACCGGCCCCAACTCTCAGGGATCCTCTTTGCCTTGGAGCCTGGACGTGGTCTTGGGCACCCCTGATGCTCCGGCAGTGGCCAGCAGGCATTGCTGGGGTGCCTGCCCTGCTGTCCTGGGTGCACGGGGCTTGCCCCTTTAAGACCCAGGGTCTCCTGCTGGCTTCTCACCCATGGGCCTGGGTCTGCAGGGTCACAGTCGTCACTTGGGGTGGGTCAGTTCTGGGCCTGACCTTGGTCTGCCCTTCCCACCCCTGTGTCCCCAGCCCTTCTCTGGCAGAGGGGCAGAGTCCCAATACCTACTTGTGTTCTGAGCACTCAGGGAGGCCACCAGGAGCAGGAGGATCCCGAGCATGCTGGGAACGCAGGGCTGGGGGATGCGTCTGGGGGACACAGAGGGCCAGGTCCGCATGGCTGGCTGATGGGGGAGGCCTCAGGGGTCCCTTGTCCTGGATACCGGTTTCTGGGACATTCCCTGTGGAAGGGAGGGAGGGAGACCCGGGGGTCAGAAGTCCCCAGGTGGTCCCAGGCTGCAGGGAGCGGCCTCCACCTGGCCAGGGGCTGGGCAGCCCAGGGGCCAAGCTTCCCCTGGACGAACTGTGTCCTCCATGCTTGAGCCTCCTCCCAGTGTCTGGGTCCCCAGCAGCCACCCTCCTTCCTGTCCCTGTGCTTCATAATGTGTGAGGCCCCGGCCACAGGAACCAAGGGAATCACAGGAAGACAGGAGAAGGTCTGTCCCCTGGACAGGCGGAACTGGGTGGTCCCCTGCAGCTGGCCTGGAGTTGCTGCACTCAGAGGGACCACCCACCTGCGTGTCCTAGAGGGATGGCCGAGCCACAGCTGCTGGCGGGGGCTGCCCTGAGAGCTCCTCCTGGTCTGTAGGGCGCCCTGAGTCCCCAGGTCCTTCTGCCTCTGCTCCCGGGAGGAGGCAGGGTGCTCCCCGACTGCTGCCCAGTGCCCTTGGGATTTGGGCCCCAGCCAGGGCTGTCCTCCAGCTGGCCTGCCGCCCACCACGGCTCACAGTCCCAGTCCTGACTATGCCCCAACTTAAGCAGAGCCTGATTCCTGCCTCGAGGGGGGATGTTCCTGGGAGTCACCTTCAGAGGCACAGCTGGTGTGTGTTTCCCAAACCCCAGTGAGAGGCGTGCTGTGGGGGCAGCCCAGTGCAGGGCTGCGGAGGTGACCTGGCTCTGTCATTCTCGTGCCCGTCCCAGTTGTAGTCCCCTCACCTCACTAGCTCAGTGGTCAGCACGGGCAGCACCCCTGAGACCCCCATTATGCTCAGGCGTCCACAGACCCTGTCCCACACCCACCGGGCAGCTTCACCCTGCCAATTGCGGGACAGAGCCCACTTGCTGTGCTTTCTAGTCCTGCGCTTCTGCATCCCTGCAGCACAGGCCGCCCCCTGGACCTCGGGAGTGACAGGCTGCAGGCTGTTTAGGTGGGCCTCCCTGTGCAGTCTCACCTGGGGCCTCCGACTTCACAGGGTGTGGCTGGCCTCCTCCCTCCAGTCCCTGCCCCAGGGGTCCTGGCCTGGCAGAGGAGGTCCGTCCCTCCCAGCTTCCTGGCTAGCGCGGGCGGTTTCTCCCTGTAAGTGCAGAGTCCTTCATCAAGTGCCCACTGCGGCTCCCAGGGGGGTCGCCTGCAGCAGAGCAAGGAAGGGCCCCGTGCAGTGCTGACTCTTCTGCAGGGGGACCAGCCTCCTGCCCCCCAGAGCTCTGCCGAGGCGGGTGACCAGCCTCCCCAGACCACAGCTGCTACCCCATGTGGGGAACCTCCTGGCTGCTCCGCTCCTGTCACACCAACGGACGTGCACACACACAGGTGAGCACACGGGGCTAGGGGGCAGAGATAAGCCCCTGACAGCCAATGATGCCACCACACCCTGCATACCGTGGGTGCTCAAGTGTGTGGATCTGGCCACAGGGAGCCATCGGGGGCCTGCAGCCTCTCACAGAAGCCCGACCCCTCCCCACCTGGGGGGCAGCTCTGCAGGGAGGGATGTGGCCCAGCAGCCCCCACAGGGCTCAGTCAGTACCCCATGGTGGGTCCTGGCCCAATGCCTGGGCTGGACCTGGGCTGGTCAAAGGTCAGTCTTGGCCGTCACCTGCACCTGGTGACACGGACAGGTGGCAGCTTTGGTGGAGCTGTTATGTAACCTTGCTGACCTGCCAGCTGGGCTTGGGGAGGGGACAAGAGGGAAGAGCAAACCGAGTGGCTGGGCTCTGTCAGGCGGGAGCTACTGGCGAGGTCCGCAGTCCTCCTGGGAAGAGGCAGGGTGCTCCCTGACTGCTGCCCAGTGCCCTTGGGATTTGGGCCCCAGCCAGGGCTGTCCTCCAGCTGGCCTGCCGCCCACCACGGCTCACAGTCCCAGTCCTGACTATGCCCCAACTTAAGCAGAGCCTGCTTCCTGCCTCGAGGGGGGATGTTCCTGGGAGTCACCTTCAGAGGCACAGCTGGTGTGTTTCCCAGACCCCAGTGAGAGGCCATGAGAAATCACAGCAGAAGGTGCCACCACCCACCAGGGCGTCCGCTGTCCCCAGTAGAAAACTGGCCCTGACAGCCCACGACATCGTCCCCAGGAGGCCAGAGTCCTGGCTGGCTGAGGGCACTGGTCAGGGTCCAAGCCACATTGCCCAAGTCAGCAGTGTCCATGAATCTAGCCCTGGACATCCACAGGCCACCTCTCCTCATGCTCTCCTGTGCTCCGCCTCCATGGAAGCCCCAGAAGGCTTCAGAATCCACATAGGAGGACCCTGAGTGTGCCCCTGCCTTTGCCCCTCAGGCTGCCTCTGCTTTGGGCTGATGTGATGGCCTCTGTCACTGCCCCTGTGTTGCTGACCAGGCGAGAGTCTGTAGGATGACCGAAACTCAGTGTGTTCACAGACCTCTTCTGAAGTCTGCACTTTGACGGGCTCTGGGGCCACCCAGGCCATCAGGTAGGACTGTGGGATCTGGGGGCAGCTTCACAACCAGGGGCCCAGCTGGTGCTGGGCAGGTGTCCCTGGCCTGGAGGTGGGGACTGAGCTGTCCTGGGGACCGGGACTGAGGTCAGCCATGGGAGGGAGGGCGTGCCTCCTGGCTCCCACGCTGGGCGAGTTCTCCCTGTTCAGAGCTGAAGGTACCCTGCGTCCCTCTCCCAGGAGCCCCTGCTTTGCCTCCCTCCAGGCCTCCAGGCCAGCAGTGGGGAGGCCAGGTCTGCCAGGGCAGTGGGTCTCCCTTACTGCCCCGCCCGGGGAACCCCTTCTTCTGCAGGAAGCTGGGCTGTGTCTGTGTTGATCTTCCTTCCAGGGACTCTGAACCTTCAGGAGTGAGTCACAGGTCAGCACTCTGGCCACCCAACTAAAGGCCACCATGGATCTTTATGGCTCTGAGCTGGAAATCCCCTAGAACACTCTGCCTACACTTCCCCGCCTCCCTGTGGGGTGCTGGTCCTGCCTGGGTTCCATTCTCGTGGAGGGACAGACCTGGCCTGGCCATCTCAGAGAGCTGCACCTGGCTGTGTCCCGAGTGGACCATGGAACCACAGATCTCGGTGGCCAGGTCCTGGAGGCTCTGTGGGCCAGCCACACACACCAGACAGCACCCAGCTCCTCCTGCCTGGGCAGTGGCTGTGTCCACCTTCCTCACCTGACCGACTTGGCACTGGCCCTGTTCTGCCCTGGAGCTCAGGAGAGCCTGGCCTGGCTCCTGCAGAGCACGGGCTCAGCACCTGCCTCCCTCAGCCTCCTGCTTCCAGCCGGGCCGGGGCTGGGGCAGCAGGGAGAGAAGCACTCTCCTCTCTTTGGGGCCTGTGCCTCCTCCAGGGTCCCAGCTCCAGCCACCTGGACTCCTGGGCTCTGGGAACTTCCCCGCGTCCCTCCAGCCACATGGGTGCTTCCCGCCTCTCACCTGAGGACTCAGTGCCCCTCTGGCCTTCCTTACTCCAACACCTTGACCACTGACCCTCTCGTGGCATCTCCTGCGGCACCTAGGCCCTGACCCTTGTCCAGCAGGGGTGGAGGGTGGCTGGACCAGCACTGGGCTGGAGAGATCCCAGGAGCTGGTTGAATTCCCTGCCTTGAGACTCCTCCCAGGCCACACACCAACACCTGGCAGGTGCAGAGAAAGCCCCAGGACAGGCCAGCCGAGGTCACTCTGGCAGTGGCAAGGACAAGCTTTCTGCTGCATTTTGGAATTTTCCTATGCTAGCAGGAAGCCCCAGGGACAGGCCTGAAAATGACCTTTAGGGACTCAGGGTCGGGGCATAGACACGGGAAGGACCGCGGTGGGTCTCCTTCTTCCCGAGGCTTCACACTGAGAGGCCCAGCTCCTCCGAGCAGTGACACTCAGTGGCAACCTGGAATCTGCTATGTTTCTTTGGGTGGAAACGCGCCTGGTGCCACAGCCCTCCCCACGTTCGGGACGCCCCGTTACGGCTGAGATCAGATAGGCCCTCGTTTTGCAGCAAGTACAATATCTGGGACATACCTGAACTAAGAAGCAACTCGCTACCTGCGTTCAGCCATGTGGGCGCCACACTGAGGGCCCATCCACCCCACTCCAGAGCCCTCTCGCTTCTCTGCCCAGCCGCCTCCCTTCCCACGCTCCCTTCCTCCTGCCCGGCTGCCCCTTGCTCTCCATCCCCCGTAGCCCCACTTGGGGGATGCCCTGCACTTGAGGGTGCCTGCCCTGGGAGGGGAAGGTGGCCGAACTCCTGCTGTGGGCCCAGGTGGCCTGGCCAAGTGGGAGGCCAGAAGGTGGCAGGACCCCAGCTCACTGTGGAGGGCAGGGACAGCAGAGCATGCAAACGCCCACCTCTAGTCAGAAGAGGGCAAGAAGCACAGCTCTCTCCAGCACCCACCAGATGCTGGCCACCAGACAGGGGCCAGGCAGCAACCTGAGCAAGCATGACACACAGATTTAAGTCCTCGGCCACTCAGCCCACTCCTCGGAGCCCTGCATGCCCTGCCCCCTAGGCGACATCAGTGAGCTGGTTTGTGGGTGCCTGGGAGTCCTGGGGTCTGGGTGCACTGGGGACCAGTGAGGCCCCTGGGGGTCTCCCCTTCCACCACACCTGAGGGAGCCGCACTCACGTCCTGCACGCTGCAGGAGCTCGAGAAAGCCGCATGCTCCCTTGTCTGCACAGAGAGGCCTCTGTCAGCACTGACCAGCTGTACTGCTGGCCAGCACTGCGAGGAACTGGCCACAATTCTCAGAAAAGAGAAAGTGAAGCCTGCAAAACCACGGCCCGCGGGGCACAGGCAACGGGGGGCACAGGCAGCCGGGGCACAGGCAGCGGGGGGCACAGTCAGCCGGGGCACAGGCAGCCGGGGCACAGTCAGCCGGGGGCACAGTCAGCCGGGGCACAGTCAGCCGGGGCTCCTGTCTTGGTTGCTGCTGAGGCAGGCCGGGAGGGGACCCAGGGGCCACAGAGTCCCTGAGCCAGACAGCCCTTCCCGCCTCAGGCTGGTCACTCTGTGTCTCCGCCTGGCTGCCCTGTCCTCCTCCCTCAGGGCTCACTGGCCTCCTCCACACCTGCAGCCAGGCTCATGCTGGCAAGCCCTGAGCCTCCCAGCCAGCTCCGCCTCCAGGCGACCTGGGGTGAAGTAGGCAGGGTGCAGTGTGTCCTGCACAGGTCCTGCTCAGCCCTGGAGCACAGCTCCGCAGTGACATAAGGTGGGAAGTGGGGGACCCCCAGAGGACCCCCAGAGCCCACCTGGGGATCCAGGAGAGACGGGGTCCTGTCCCCCCAGCCTGCCCATCCCCCTGCACCCCTGTGCCCTGCAGACCTGGCCAGACCCCAGCCCTGAGCAACCCAGGCCCATCTGAGCAGGAGGCGGCCAGGGGCTGAGTGTCCTGGAGGGGCTGCAGCCAGGACAGGAGGCCCCATCCCCACAGTCCTGCCCACGGTGCTGCAGATCCCGCAGTGTCCAGGTGCCCAGCTGTGGTCCTCTGCCCGCCCACGCCAGCCCCTCACCTGCTGCCTGCTGCTCCTCTCCTGCTCCTGCTCCTCCTTCTGCTCCCCTGGGGCCTCCCGCCAGGGCTTTCTCTGCTCTGCCCAGAAGAAAACTGAAAGAGCCCAGAGGGAGGGCCAGGGGAGGAGGCAGGTCTCGTGCGTGCCAGGGGACGTCCTAAGCAGGGAGGAGACCGTTCTGGGAAGCCACCGGGTTCCAGGAACTATACCGTGTCCTCAGAACGTGCCACCTTCTTGGTAGCGCTCTTGCCAAGGCTGATTGTCAGAGCCGTGCACTGCAAAGCCTGTGGGGGGCAGGGGAGACTCCCTCCAGCAGAGCCGGGCGGGATGTCCCTTGCCCAGGGCTCAGGGCTGTTCCTCTGCGGAGCCCGTGGGCTCCCTGCTCTGCAGGCATCAGGGCCAGCGGGGTCCCCCAGTGCCCTGGGCGAGCTGTGTGGCTGCTCAGGATCCACCAGGCGCCTCAGGGCTGAGGCTGGGGGAAAGGCAGGCGGGTGGCTGTCAGGCAGTGCTGGGGGGTGGCAGGCGCAGGCAGCTGGGTGGACTAGGTGGCAGGAGAGCCCCAGGGTTAACTGACATTGTTTTTTTTTTGTACTG